TCCGTCTAACCGTCGTATCTATCTACCTATCTATCTATCCGTCTATCCGTCTAACCGTCTGTCTATCTATTTATCTGTCTATCTACAGACAGCCTGTGTGATCCTCAACATTCCTCCTGGTTTTGGTTTTGTTTTGCAGAAGATGGGAGACCCTCCTTTGAGACTCTTCTCTGTCCTGATCACTCCCCAGGTCCTCACACCCCCGCCCCCACACCTCTGCCCATGATCCCCATGTACGCTATTCATCCTCATGTGCAGCTGGAGCACTCTGTTTGACCTCCTCTCTTCTCACAGAGCCCTTATTAACAGGGGCTGTGGTGGGACTCCTCGCAGCACTTGTGGTTAGAGTGAAGAACCACACTGGACTACTGACATTATGCTCATCACTTGCATAAGTCTATGTGACATGGTATGCTACGCTGCTTTCCAACATGTGCACTGCCAGTGTTATTTCGCTGCATGGGCTTTAAGCATCAGATGAAAATGTAGACACTGCTGTCACATTCACAGCAGTTGGTTCTTCTTCTTTTATTATTTAATGTTGGGATCGTGTCTAATGGCACCCAGATGTGATTTGCCAAGAGTTTTAGTCAGTTATGATGAATTTATGTTACAATAAAAGAACTGAACTGGATCTTGGAAATGTGACAGCAATGTACAAAGATATTAGTTTTGTCCTAGTTTTCATTATTGTTATCCAGCATGCACCTCCAAAGCTTTTGGATGGTGGTGTTCTTAACTATGCATTCATTTAATATAAGAGAAGGAATAGTTTAAGTGATATTGCAATTATGCATGTCATTTAATAGTGTGACTTTTATACTATAATTAACACTTATTCAAGCCAAGTTAATCTTTTGCACAGTGCAGACAGGAAAGTGACACATTTTGTATTCAGCTGGCTCTCTGCTCTGACACATTGAACTGATACTTACTAAAGCTGTGACTGAGGTTTAAGTGCTGACCAGCTTTTAATTTAGGTTTTGTATTTCCACGTCAGATGAACTGTGTAGGACTTGTGATCTGTTTTATGTTTCAATATGCATTTCATCAAAGGAAAATGTGTCCTTTTAAGAGAACATGCCAATGTTAAGTTTCACAAAGGTTATTTTCAATGTGATGAGCACCATAACTAAATTCCATTGTATTGGGTTAGCGACAAATCACAAAAACAGAAACCAAAGCTCTTTTCACTGTGTAAATAACACTATAAACTGTTCACTGTATTTTTCAATCTAACATGCCTTATTAGTGAATTTAGACTTTTTTATTACAAACATTCACTCATGCATTATTTTGTTATTTTCGTATATATAAACTAGAACAGTCGAATCTCATTCATATAAATAGTAGTTTGACAAAATACAAAGAAATCTCACAGTAAATCACAATAAAGTTCAACATTTAAAACGAATCACATATGCTTGTGAACTACATGAAAACGGGGTATCTCTGAAACCGCAGCAGCACCTGTCGACCCCCCCAACCACAACATGTTGGAGCTACTGTAACTCTGGGAACAGATATTTTCATTGCATGGGTCAGCGCACTTGTCTCTGTGCTGCAGGAGCCGTTGTGTGTGTGTGTGTGTGTGTGTGTGTGTGTGTGTGTGTGTGTGTGTGTGTGTGTGTGTGTGTGTGTGTGTGTGTGTGTGTGTGTGTGTGTGTGTGTGTGTGTGTGTGTGTGTGTGTGTGTGTGTGTGTGTAACAGAGATTTTACTGCTGGGATGCCAGTTCTTCCACAGACCCCACATCACCCTGAGCTTCCAAGCTGTGAAAACATACCGGAGGTTTTTTGGTTCTTGGTGGCTAATATGGTGTCATTGTGCGGTGGAGCTGTCTGATACATCCCACAGAGTCATTAGGACGGCATGAATAGATTTAACAGAACATCTACAGCACTCACACACGTGCACCTCTAAATGCGCAAAAATGTAGTCCTACAAAAATCCATACGTTTTATTAGAGGAGATTCCAGGAATGGGGCAGGCTTTGCTCAGTTTTCTCTGACATGGTGAAATGTTCCTCTGCTACAGGAATACTGGACTTGAAGCCCGATTAGAACCTGCAACATCAAAGCATTTGGCTTTCAAAGGCTTTCTTTTATAGCTAACTTCAGGAGTCCTGGCTCCTATGTGTCCAGACAGCTTATAAAGGCTTGTTTTCATCCTCATCACCTCCTGATTCAACACCACATATCCTCTCCCACCACCACCGGACTGCTGCTATCAGAAATCCCCTGATATGATGTCTGGCTTTCTCTACAGAACAGGACATTTGGAGACTATTGCTGAGGGAAAATGCAGTCGTCCAACTCTGCCGTTTGACCCTGTTAGTCCCGAGGGTTGATTAGAGGCTATCTCGGACTCGCTCTTTGAAGAACGCACTCCTGTCTTTTCTCATCCGGTGCAGTTGATCCATCTTGGCGAGCTGGCACTGCACTCATTGCGGTTAAACTCTAATGGAGTGAACATGAATATCACTGTCAATTGTGGGAGCCTCGTACATGTGGAGGACCGCGGTTTGTTATTTCAATAGATATGAGTAGGCTGATAGAGAAACACTGCCTCCCAAAGCTGGAGCAGAGAAAATAGACAGGTCTCTGTGGATCTGGTTGTGGCTCAGGACTTTAGTAAGTGAGAGCCTGAGTTGTGTCTGCCTTGATGTGACCTCTGGGAAGGGTGGTTAATGACGCTCTGGGGTCTCTCATGACTGCTGTGTCAAGTTGCATGATTCAGAAATATACACTTGACTTTATCATAACACCCTCACATTGCTCATTGATAAGGACAAAGGCTTTCCTCATCAATTATTAGTCACTGCTCCAGGCCAAGTGGACAGCAACTTACAGTACATCACAAAGAACAACAATTAGCACACTGTATCTCCTCCTCATGTACTTGTAATTGTCAGTCAGTGACTGACTGATGAAGGTTTCGTCTTTATTAAAGATCAACACTAGAGGAGTTGTCCTGTGATGACATCATATTCCCGAGAAGCAGCTGTGTTTTCTCAAAGTCACTTCAGCAGGAAAAGAGCTGAACCCTACAGAGCAATATGCCAAGAAATGTAAATGTAGAGTGGGAGTAAATACTAGCTTTTTCATTAAGATTAGACTTTTAAAATAAAGGATGATGGTGTGTCCTCATAGCCAGGGTGTTCAAGAGGCTGACCAGGCAATCAAAACATATTATTGTTTTCATTTGCTCAACTGAAACATCTTGATAAAAGACCAAAAAAGAAAGATATTAGATAAAGTGCAATCATTAATATCAGTCAATGGAAAAAAATGAAATCTGAAAAGAGTTAGTGTTAATGTAGTAAAGTTAAAAGAACATCACTGTGTGAAATGTGTTATCAAAAAACATACAATTGCTAAAGTCAAGTAGTGCAAATTGAAATTTGTACTAAGGAACAGAATTTGTGTAAATGTTTGAGTTGTCTTTCACCGATGTACAAGCAAAATGGAAGGAAAAGAATACTTAGTATATGGACTCAAACATTTGATATGAAAAGCTGTTCAAATCGAACATTTCTTTAGGAGAGAAAGCAGGACAAATTACAGCAAAAATATGGGTGGTTGGAGCTCCACCTCATGCTTACCTGTGAGGTACAGCAGGTAGAGAGTGGTGTGAGATCAGCACCATGGACAGGTCCACCTGACAGGTACACTCACCTTGAGATCTTTCTTTTTCAGACAGCATCATCATGTCCATTCACAGATACAACCAAACTTTAAGATGTACAATTTATCCTTTACTTTTGCAACACAGTCATAAAAAAAAGGATAACGTGCATTTCTGAGCCGAAAGAAGTGACACTTGTCTGTTTTTCTTTACTGAGAAGGTAAAATGCTACACCTAAACAAACCTGTGTTCCCCCTGAAACAATGCTTCACTATTAGGCCTTCTTTAGGATGTAAGTAAATGTTCGCTGGTGTTGTGACCTCTGACCCTGACTGCCCCCCTGTTTCCTGAACCAGATGCTGCTCCTGTGGACCGAGGCCGTCTCAACCTAAACAAAGTAATCCTCCACTAAACAAGATGGATATTGTATCACCAACCTAGTAAATACCAGAAGGTCTCAAACACAGAGCTGCTCTTTTTACTGTTTCCCATTGGAACCAACAGGGAGGAATCACTTCTTGAATTTGTGGGCGGACATAGAAAAATAAACTATAACTTACCACAATCTTACTTTTTACATTTCATGGAATATTAAGGCATACAAAAACATGCCCTCTTGTGGGGGATATAATTAGAACATGCAACAAGTCCTCCAACGAAAGGTTTGAAAGTCTGCACTGGCTACATGTCAAAAATATGAGATTTGGATATATTTCCTATGTGAAAGTCTTTTGATCTCACTTGGTTTAAGCTCGGCTATGGAAACATAAATCTAAAATTCTCGTGGGTTAGGTTTAAACATATCTGCCATGGTTGCATAATACTATTTTTAGTGTCAGCTCACAATCACTGCAGTTGATAGCACAGCAGTGATGGAATGAGACAGTACAGCATTTTATTGGGTAGCCAATGAATGGATGAAAGGATAAAAACACGCATTGTCTGCGCATAGACCTGCAGAGAAAGCAAGGCTGTTACAATGTGTTAATTTAAATAATATTTGCATTTAAAAAAAACGTTATTTCGTTTTGAAGTTTCTTTTTAATGAGGCAATTTACTTTTCTAATGTTCCTCGCTGTGAACGCAGTTAAATGGACATGATACAGATCTGAAATAATGTTGTAGTTATGAGGATTTATATTAGCCTACTATAATAACTATATTGTAATTGCTTTTGTTAAAATAGTGAAATGATTTGAAATAAAAGCGTTCCCCACTTATCTTTTCCAGCTCTGACTTTGTAATAGGTTTCTGAAAGTTCATTGGATGCTCCCACCCCTCGCTTCACGTAATTCATCTTCTTGGCCAATCACGCCCCTCTCCAAAAAGTTTACGCCATGCAGCCTATAAGAACTGCCTAAGTTTCTCAAGTATCAGAAAATACTTGTCCTCTCAGGAACCCATCTATGGATACGTTGGTGCCTTCAAATCCAGATAGATCTACAGGTGGACCAATTCCTTGACTTCATGAGAGGGAAATCACTTGTTGGACACTTTTTGGCCGCTATCTACCCAAGTGGAGATGTCTGAGGAACATTTGGGGGAAGAATCGGTCAGCTCCCCTGTCTCTCCTGTGGACAGCCAGAGCAACAGCGAGGGGGAGCAGGACAGTCAGCCGAAGAGGTGTGGGAGGAAGAGGAGACCGAGCAGGAAAAACGGGGAGGACTCAGATAGCCCGACCCCTGGGAAACGAGGGAAGAAATCAAACAGCAGCAGCCCCCAGTCTTTCGAGGATCTCCAGTCGCAGCGGGTCATGGCAAACGTCCGGGAGCGCCAGAGGACCCAGTCTCTCAACGAAGCGTTCACATCTTTGCGGAAAATTATCCCCACTTTGCCCTCGGACAAACTCAGCAAAATACAGACCCTAAAACTTGCAGCCAGATACATCGACTTCCTCTACCAGGTGCTTCAGAGCGACGAGCTGGACGCCAAAATGGCAAGTTGTAGTTATGTGGCTCATGAGAGGCTGAGCTACGCCTTCTCAGTGTGGAGGATGGAGGGCGCTTGGTCCATGTCAACATCTCACTAGTATCTGGAGAAATTATGCCCTAAATGGTACGCTTGATTTGCAAAATAAATGCATGTTCCAAGCATTAAATTATGGAAATATAACCTTACTTAACAATGTTATTTGACGGCTTTATTCTGGTTTAATGCACCCAAATTATTTTTGTGTTGGCCTTTTTTCTCTACACACTTTAGTGATAATTAATGCGTTGTCTAACCTCCAGGTGACTGCTGAATCTTCTGATCACATTCTGACGGGACACATCTGGAGTCCAATGCTGGATACATGGGATCACTCTATTTAAACCAAAGACGACAGAAACTTTGTGGGATCATTTTTGCCAAGGCCCGACATGGACTTGCAGCCGTGCCTTAGCTCCATACACTCCCATTCTAATGCGTTTTCACGTTGTTGACGACGAATGTTGAAAATATCCTGTTTTTGTAGGAAAAGGCGTTTATAATGAACGTCTTTGGGCTTGTTTCTGTGGAGGTCATAGTGCATTATTGAAGCAGTTGTGAGTCTGTCAACTGGTGGTGTAGCTCACATTATAGGCTGACTGTGTGGATCTAACCTGTGCAAAACATATTTTCAGAATACATTTATTTATTTATTGGTGAAACGTGGTACTTTGAGGAATTGATATTGTGTCTGAAGTACAAAATGCATTCCTATTTTTTACTATCGTTTGTTGTAAATGTTTGTTGTAAATGTTTGTATATTTTTTTGCATTAAAGAAAATGACAATCAAAGTGTTTGCCTTTGGCTTTTTTGTGCCAAACAGAATCAAAATAAAAAAGCACTGGATATGTTTGCATAAAACGTAAACTATAGGCTACTACTACTACTACTGTATGCTTTTGTGCATGCATCACATGGACTGTAGCCTACTTCAGATGTAATGACTAAAGCTTCCACTATATCGCCAGTCACTTGGGAAAACAGATGGAGTTATTATTGGCTCAAGTGAAAGCGTTGGAGAAACATGGAGAGCTTTTTTTTTACATATCGGTAAACATCCAAAAGGAACAAAGAAAATACATTTTCTCGTCATTTAGCACAAGTAAAACTATTTAAGGCACAATCCAAACGTGAGAAAAAGTTTTATTGGTGAAAAGAAAAATCTGCTGTAGAAAAACAGAGTCAGTCTGTATAAACGAAGATAAAATTCCACTTTAATTAAAATTTGAAAAGCCTCGCAAAGTCTCCAGTTTCTCTCTCACTCTCTCTTTTCCTGGATGTGTTTACAGTTGGATTAAGGACCTGAGACTCACCATTATAAGTAAATAAGTTACACTGGGGTCATGTCAACCTGCTATTGGGTCCATGCTACAGTCTCTCAGCTGAACATAAACAGTGAGGCAGTGAAATGCTCAGGATTTTAGACATTTAAAAGTCTGAAACTAGAACGACTTTCTTCGTTATGTTTTATTTAAGCATTACAATCCGTGTCCTGTAAACTCTTGATGACAAAATCAAATAATTAAATCATAATTGGAATATTTAACCTATTTGACAGAAGCTATTGCATTTAAAACTGCAACATAATTATAAGTACAGTTTAACGCAAGAAATGTATTCCCATTATTGTCTCTAAATAAATCTTTCATTGTTATCGTGCTGTGATTGATCACAGTGATCCGGGAAAGTGTTTCCTCACTGTCCAAATCAAAGTGTGTGCCCGTTTGAAGGTGTGTAATTGGCTTGCGAGGCATGTGTGGAATTCCCAGATGTCTATGAAATTTAAGGAGGCCGTGATGGTATGGGCTGAAGGTCTTTACATACAGACTATTCCCACTGAAATGTGAGGGGAAATACACACTCACAGTGTAGATCAATAAACAGATTTTTTACATCTCTACAGTGAAGAATATTCACTCAACATGAGCAGATAAATAAACAGGGCCTACAATAAAGGACATGAGTCACAAAATACTTTTTCCAATTCAGTCCTTACGAAATGCAATAGGTTTAAATACATTTCCTCTCCCCTTTCTTCAGGAGAGAGGAGTTGGCAATTGACACGATGCAGAGGCAGAGAATGAAACCTATTTAGAACAGATGTTAGTATTTTTAAAAAAAGTCACGTGAAACGAGCAGATGTTCAGACTGTGGAGAGAGCCTCGCCGCGCAGCGCATTACTCTGCAGAGAGAGAGCTCGGAGGAGCTTTGCCTCTGCACACAACGAACATTTGTGTTACATTTAAATCATCTGTAGGTTTTATTAAAATGGATTAATAAACAGGGAGACCTGCGGGGAGTAACATGGAGCTGACTGACGGCACTGACACAAAGGTAGGCTGTAACAAAAGGAAGTCTGACTGTAACTTGGTGGTGATGGTGTGTTCACGTTCTGATTATTTGTCTGTAATTTTATATCTGAAGATCAGGATGTTTTTCCAAAGCTTCCAATACTAACAGGCCTTCCGAAGTCGACGTGTCAGACTGCTTTGAAGCGTGTGTGTGTGTGTGTGTGTGTGTGTGTGTGTGTGTGTGTGTGTGTGTGTGTGTGTGTGTGTGTGTGTGTGTGTGTGTGTGTGTGTGTGTGTGTCTGTTGGGAGGGAGGAGGGGGCTTGAAGAGAAAACGAACACAAATGTATCATCCAGCATCAGGGAAAACAAAAATGTATGACACATAATATAAACCCCTGACTTAGCCCATACGATAACTGTTCTGTCAGACATTGTGATACGTTTCTTTCTAAAAATTAAATAATGGGTAGGGCCTAATGCTTCCATGTTTTCCATCTGCAGTTTATAAAAAACGTTAGACTTCTGTGATCTGGGCAGATGTTTATGTATTAATCATTATTTAACAACCTATATTATTACTATTATTATTACTATTATTATTATTATTATTATTATTATTATTATTATTATTATTATCATTATTATTATTATAGTTACAGTTAATTTATTAATGCAAAATGGTTTTGACAATCTGTAGGCTACTAGTATTCACTAGAGCCTGACGGAAAAAACATAATCATTGTGCCGATTATAATTTCATGTGAAAAGTTCTCTATTTTGTAACAACATAATCTCGGTTTATTCACAGCTGACAAGTGTTATATATCGTGAGAATTGTTGTTCCTAAAATATATTAACCAACATTAATAAATGTGTTAATTTGTCCTCCAGATTTCTTCTCTTGTTGTTGGCTTTTTTAAATGTTGCATTTCGAACAATCTTTATTTCATTTGTTTGTGAGTGCAGCAAATTATATGAAAAACTGATAATTAATGTTAGACTTACTTTAATATGCTCTCAGACGACTTAAATTATTGTTGTGTTGTTGCCTCAGTTTTTTTTATTATTGGGCTCAACAGGAGAGAGCAGGTGCAGACCGTGCAGACTTTACGGCTGTTCCACAATTTTAAGTGGAATTCCAGATTTTCCATTGTGAGACTCAGGGAGAAGTAAAAAGTCCTCTGGTTGGTAATCAAACTTTTCAGGCCCACACACCTTCAATGGCAGAAAGTGAATAGTAAAGCCAGGAGCAGTTGCAATGCATGGAGATAAGATCAGAGGACTGCACTTGAGGCAAGGAAACAGAGGAGAGGCTACACATAAACAGCTACAGTGCACACCTCCTGAATCTGAAGTCTTCTGATTGTTACATATATTTACATCTAACACACAGCTATTTTTTAGATGTTTTTTTAGATACACGCATGAAAAATCAGAACAGTTGTTGTCCACAGAGAAAATGTACATTAACTTAAAAGCAGTCATATTGTGTAGCATTGACTCCCCAAAATGTAATATGTATATTTAAAATAAATAGTCCAAAAGAAGGACAATCTGAATTTTTGGGGCGATATGAAAACTCTAAAAAAAAGGAGGAAGCAAAAAATGTCAAAGGAAACAAACTTTCAATTTACAACAAATTTGTGCTGGGAATATGAAAAGAATATAAAACATTTATTATTAACATTTTATCTCTGTTAATCTCTGAGTGGATAGCAGACATCAGTATCTGCCACTGTCCTTTACTGCTGTTAAAAATGTGCAGCTACCTGCAGCTGTGTATACTTTTCACATGACAGCACCATGAGATCAGACATCAGGTTCAGGGAGAACTGTGTGTCCTATAAAGGATGGAATTTCATATTTCCATTGCCTTTACCCATTCCCAGCAGGACACAGATAATAATAATAATCAATTTCTAAATTTAAATTAGTTGAACGTTTTAAATCTCAATACAAAATAAATCTGTTTTGGAAAACCACGGTTCATTCTCACATAATTGAGTTTATTGTCACGATAGATTTTTGAAACAAATTAATCTCTTTTATTGTGAATTGAACTTAATTGTATCTGTACCGTGCAAAGCTTAAGATGAGAATCCTCTCTTAAATCTACGACATGAAACCACTGACTCTTTTATTTCCTTTTTTTATGTACGTGCGCAGGTGTGTTTCTGAGAATTATTTGCACACTCGGATAGTCGGAGAGCCACTTTTTAGAAAATAATACAGGACAAATGTGCCTAGTCGACTGCTCCAGAACCTTTGTACCTACAATGAGATGAAGCTCATGGCGATAAAAGCTTGAACACATTTGTATAGATCATAAGGCTTCAGGAGTCTTATTTATTTAATCATTTAAAATAAATCTCCTGCACTCTTAATAATCAAATGTTGGTTTAAAAGAGTTGTCGAAATCAAACTGATCCAAATCACTCTGGAAATCTATATGAATCTCACTTACTAAAGTATTTTCCACTAATAAAAAACATTGCCTTAACATAAATCAGTTTGATCCAAGACTGAGTCCAAGGCTCTTATACGTTATCTCAGGGCATTGAGAAGTGAGGATACTTTATGCCAAATACTGTACATTTCTGTTCTGGTTCAGCAGCAGATGTTGAAATAGCACAGACACCTGCATTGCACTTACTCAATGTCTTTAAACATATGAGAACACAACAGAAAGAGATATGATTGGGTATTTTGCTGGTAAAGATTATTGACTGAAAGCTTTAACAGATTGATGATCCATTTATTACTTTTTATGATTTCATTTGTTTCATCTCTCATTTTCAAAAGTCAAAGAAAACTTGGTTTGGTTAAAGAAAAATATTGCATTTAAGAAATCAGCAACTTGCTAAAAGAAAACTTTAACACTGAATGACATTTCTTGAGAAAAACTGATATTTGCAAAGGTGTTTTAAGTATTCCATCATGATATAAGATATAAGAGTTATATGGCTCTTGATTAGAATGATCCAAATAAAAGTTTAAATACAGGGACATTCGTTGTTTAGATTTTTCAGCAGAGGTAAACACAACATGAGGAATTGAACTCCTTTCCATGTTTAAGAAAATGTTAAATAGATGCTTGTTTGAATTGGGTTGAAGGCTTGTGGATACACACCATGTTTAAGTTGGCAAATTACAGATTTCAATGAAAATGTGAAGCAATAACAGGCCAGGCACACTGGTCATGAAGAATGACGACAGGAGTCAGGCATGCACCGCTTGCAGGCCAGAGATGTCCTCTGATACATGTCCAAAGGGCACAGTCGAAACGTGTGCACCTTGAGTTTAACCTTGGTTGCGTGTGATGTATGCCACCCAGGCTGCAGACAAGACACGGATCAGTGTGTTTAAGGGCAATGCGCAATGATGTCACATGGACAGGAAAAGGCTGAAAAAGGCTTGGCACCTTTTGGACTTGGCCGGATCCCCATTGGTTTAGGAGAAACGCTGGAATAATAAACAGGCAATCAGAAGGCAGCGTGAG